GGCAGGCCGCCAGCCAGGGCTTCCGGCAACCTTGCCAGCCAGGGCCTCCGCCAGCCTGCCAGCCAGGGCCTCCGCAGCCCTGCCAGCCAGGGGCCTCCGCACGCTGCCAGCCATGGCCTCCGCAGGCCTTTGCCGCCAAGGCCTCCGCCAGCTTGCCGCCAGGGCCTCCGCATGCTTCCAGCCAGGGGCATTAGCACATTCGCAAGCACGTTTGATATTCTTTCGCAACCACAATCAATCGAGGCACAAGCGAACATGTCGCCATCATTTACTTAGTGGATACATTTTTTCCCTATGCATCAAGTACATAAAGCCATGGGCACGTTGGCAGCAAGGTCTCGAAGGTGTTGGCAAGCAGGGTCTCAGAAAGTGTTGGCAAGCAGGGGAGGCCACACCTGCAAACTTTCCCATAAGGGCCAATAGCGCACTCTGGGGCTTGAGGCGGCAAGTATGTTGTGTAACTAGGCACACATTGATTATTTTTTCGCAACCAACAATCGAAGGCACAGGCAGCATATCACCTCATTTTTTCACAAAAAAACCAATCAAAGGCACAGGCAACAAAGTGAATGAACTGCTATGTTGATGGTTGGCCACACAAGTAATGAACAAACCAATCGAAGCAAAGCATAAAGGACAACTCATGCGGCCTATACAGCGTCTCAAGCACTTCCACATCAAAAAGCCCCCAAATGGCAACACCACTGTATCGAAGAGTAGCCAAATCCTACGACAAGGCGAACCAAAGGGTCAATGTAAAGAATTGGACGGCGAGCTCCCGCCAATGCACGTATGATAGCGAGTTTGGGCCGGGTGAAACATTCCATATAAGATGTAAAATAGCAAGCGACATAGGAGCATTATCTTTCCAAAATGCCAATGATTACCATGTGACCTTGGCATTCGATTCAATCCTCCGAATCCGACTTTCCATCGCAAGTGTTTCATCCCCCACATGACAATCAAGCTCTGCCGACAAAAGTTTTGTGCTCTGTACAATGTTACAGCCTACCCCCCCAAAGACAAACAGTGCAAACAGCCCCAAAAATGCCCCCGTAGTTCAAAATGGCCTCAAAAAGCTTATTTTTTTTTGCCATTCTGATAGCACTATTTGCTTTGATGCAATGCACACACGAGTTCCCAACATGCCCAAACTCGATGCCAAAAAGCACTTATTTGAGTACTTCTTAGTACATTTTGAATGTGCTACGGCTCGGCTGTCAGGCCAAGGCCTCCGCAGCTTGCAGCCAGGCCTCCGCAGACCTGCCAGCCAGGGCCTCCGCAAGGCATGCCAGCCAGGGGCCTCCGCAGCCTTTGGCAGCCAGGGGCCCGCAGCCTGCAGCCAGGGCCTCCGCAGCCTGCCAGCCAGTGCCTCCGCAGGCCATGCCAGCCATCATTGGACCACTGCAAGCTGCCAGCCATTGTTCCCAAGCTTTGCCGCCACGGCCTCCGCAGGGCTGCAGCCAAGGGCCTCCGCAGCTTGCCAGCCAGGGCCTCCGCAAGCCTGCCAGCCAGGGCCTCCGCAGGCATGCCAGCCAGGTCCTCCGCAGATTGCCAGCCAGGGCTCCGCAGCCTTGCCAGCCAGGGCCTCCTCAGCATGCAGCCAGGGCCGCCTCCGCAGCCTGCCAGCCAGGGCCTCCCAGCCTGGCAGCAAGGGCCTCCGCAGCCTGCCAGCCAGGGCCTCCGCAGCCTGCCAGCCAGTGCCTCCGCAGCCTGCCAGCCATGACCACTGCAAGCTGCAAGCCATTGTACTCCGCAAGCTCGGGCCGCCACGGCCTCCGCAGGCTGCTGCCATGACTCCGCAGGCTTGCTGCCATGGGACTCCGCAGGCCAGCCAAGGGCCTCCACAGCCTGCAAAAGCCAGGATCCTCCGCAGATTGCCAGCCAAGGCCTCCGCAGCTGCCAGCAAAGCTCCGCAGCCTGCCAGCCAGGGCCTCCGCCAGCCTGCAAGCCAGGGACTCCGCAGCCTTGCCAGCCAGGGCCTCCGCAGCTTGCCAGCCAGTGACTCCGCAGCCTGCCAGCCAGGGCTTCCGCAACCTGCCAGCCAGGGCCTCCGCAGCCTGCCAGCCAGGGCCTCCGCAGCCTGCCAGCCAGGGCCTCCGCACACTGCAGCCATGGCCTTCCGCAGGCTTGCGCCAAAGGCTCCGCAGGCTTGCCGCCAGGCCTCCGCATTGCTCCAGCCAAGGGCCTTATCACAATTCGCAAGCACGTGATTATTCTTTCGCCAACCAACAATCATATCGAGGCACAAGCGACATGTCGCATCATTTACTAGCGGATACACATTTTTCCCGTATGCATCAAGTTACATAAGCCATGGGCACGTGGCCAAGCAGGGTCTCGAAGTGTTTGGCAAGCAGGGCCAGAAGGCACAACCTGGAACTTTCCCATAAGGGCCAATAGCAAACTCTGGCTTTTTGAGGTCACAAGTATGTTGGGTAACTACAGGCACACACCTGATTATTTTGTGGATTTCGCAAACCCAACATCGAAGAAGCACAGGCAGGCATTAATCACCTCACTTTTTTTTCACAAACAAACAATCAAAGGCACAGGCAACAAAGTGAGTATGAACTGCTATGTTGTATGGATGGCTACCACACAATAGTACGATGGGTTAAACAACCATCGAAGCACAAAGCCCTATTAAGACACAAACTTCACTGCGCGCCTATCACTAGGTGTCTTTTCCAAGGCGTACTTCCACTACATTTCCCCAAAAAAACAACCAAATGGGCAATCACACTGTATCGAAGAGTAAGCCCAAATCCTAACGACAGGCGAACCAAAGGGTCAATGTAAAGTATCCGGGTGGGACGGCCGAGCTCCGCGCAATGCACGTGCGATCGGACTGTCCAATGAGCGCAGGATGTAAACATCTACAATACACGCCATCTTGCTTCCCTCCGTGATACAGTCCAGGGACTGGGGACAAAGACACGCGATATTTGCTGTAGAATACTTTGGGACCGCGGGTTTAATTGGTGGACAACATCATAAATATTCATTATTACTTCTAAAGATTTCGGCTTTGTTTTTTTATTATATTTTTTTCATTATTTTAGTTTATTTTCTTTTTTTCTTTTTTTTTGCCCGGCGCATGGGCGGGTGTCTCTTGGGTTTAATTTTCATTTCTTTTTATTTTGTTTTTTTTTTTTTTATGTTCGTCCTGGTTTTTTAGTGTCACAATTATATAGTTTCTTGATTCTTAATAGTTAGTATTTAACAACTGTTTTGTATGTTTCTTTTATCTTTCGTGCTTCTTTTTTATTTTTTTTTCTCTTCTTCCTTTCCTTTTATTAGCTCTTATTCCTTCCTACTCTTTTTTTTTACTTTCATTTTTCTCTCCTTTTTCTTTATGTCCTTACACTCCTTATCTTTCCAAAAAATTTTTTTTCCATATTTTTTCTCCAAATTTTCTTTCCAAAAATTTATTTATCAATCTTTGAGAGTATGATCCTCAATCTCACTTCTTACAATTATTTGTCTCTTCACTAAATTTCTAGATTATTAAATACAACATGTGTGGTGTTCTCCCTCAATTACTTATAATGTTCTTCTATTGAATGACTACTATAAGATTTTCCAACACTTCAGTATCCAACTAAAAACTCCTTTTATCTGATTTGGATCAAATTTTCTAAGGCAGATTTTCCATGTTATGTCATAAACCCACCTTTGTAAACCAAATAAACATAGAAAAATGAGACTAAATTAGGTGTGTCTCCTTTTAAACAATCTCTTAATGGGTTATTTATTTTTAATTTTTAGATCCACATTCACCCATATATTCAAAACGGTAATTCATGGCTATGCTAACTGCCTCAGCCCAAAATATTTAGGAAGTAAGTATACTCCAATAGTGCTCGGACCGCTTCGTATTAATTGTTTTTGTTTTCCTTTTCGACTTACCACATTCTACTGTAGGCGATATTCTTTGATGCCATGAAAATTGTGATTCAGATTCCTTTTCTTCTTAACAAAAATTCTCCAAATCTTTCATTTTCAAATTCTCCTCCATGATCACTTTGATAGTTACAGATTTCACCACCCATTTTCTTTGAATCCAAGTTCAAAAAATTCTAAATTCCTCAAATGATCATTACTCTTTATGTAAAAGAAATCGTAACATCATGTGAATCTGAGTAATCATCCCTACCAATCACAAATTCGTTATATACCTTTCCCCCCTTAGACCTTATAGTACGAACTTTGGTCCAAAAGATTCCTTATATTAAAAATCTCCAATTGGTTTACTATTCTTAAGATCCTTATTTGGATTTAGTAAAAGAGGACCTATCACTTACTTTTTCTATAATTTGGCATGCATACAAAGGTGGTCTCCTTAGAAAGTATAGTGTTTTGGTTACCTTTCACTAAGTTTCTTTTGGTGAATTCTCCTAAGGTGTTTTTCATGACTAGATATGACCCAAAGTCTCCTATGGACAAAGCCATGACTCATAGAATAGTTTTTTAAGAGCAAAAAACAGTATGAGTTTAATCAATTTCAATATTATAGCGGTCATATAAACATTATTTACCTCTTTACCATTCAAAACATCTTTTTCTCATTTAGGCTTTTAAAATGGCCAAGCTAGTATAGGAAAAAATTATTTTACCACAAAATATCCTTTGTCACATAGATGGGTTTATACTTAACAAATTATGCTTTAAGCCTTCTACCAATAACACATTTTCAATAAAAAAATTCTTTAGATTTCCAATCATACCTGTCCCAATCACCTTCCTTGTGGTGTTATCTCCAAGTGTAACCTTACTTCCACTCCTGGCTTCCAGCGATATGAATTGTACAGTATCTCCAGTCATATGCTTTAAACATCCACTGTCCATGTACCATATGCTCTCACGAGGTCTTGTGTGAGAGCGACCCTACAAGATTATCAAACATTAGACTTGGGAACCCAAAAAAGTTTGGGTTCTCCTTTTGGCAATTTATAAAGAGATGCATGTATCATATGTCTAGGTTTATGCATCTTAAGTTTTCACACCAAATAAGTTTTCTTTTTCAAATTACAGGTGTGAGCTATGTGTCCAATCAATCCACAATTATTACATTTGACTTTTAGAAAAGGATTACTAAGTCTACTACTATTCATTTATTTATTTAGGGATTGCATAAATTTAGGATATAAAATATGATTAGTTAAATCTTCAAGTTTAGGGGGTATCATATTATCCTCGAGAGCTTTTAGCGTTAATTTGTAAAGTGAATTCATATCTTCCAAAATTTGATTTATATAATTTGATATATAAAT